CATTTAAATTATTTTTTAAATTGCCTCTTCTGAGCTTGGGGAAGTCACCTACCGTTTTATGGTGTTCCGGACAAGAATAATTGCGTTAAAAGACCAAGCGTTCTGAAAAAAACAGTAAAAATTTGGGGGTGTCCTAGGTGCCCCAAATGGTGCAACAGCGCCTCCAGCGCCTCTTGAGTCCAGTGACAGTTGTACTGCACCATGAAAGAAGAGTAATAAAAATACAAGCCTTTGATAATGCAACAGTTTAAAGCAATCGCGACAAAATTCAACAAAGCGCTTTATGTTACCACCTGGTAACATAATCAAGATATCAAATTATTGGAAACATATAGACATAAACAAATTATCATGGTTGACAAAGAAGCTCTATCCAAATTTAGTCACTAAATGACTTCGCGTTCGTAAACATATTAAGTTGAGGTGGCCCTCCAATGAAACCTGGAACCCATCACCCATCATATCAGATTTTGCTGTTATTGACGCAGATTAATTTTGCTAAATGTAAGTAGGAAGTTAAGTAATGCAATTAACACATTTCACAACTTTTGCGGGCATCAGAGTGCTTCAATGAGGAACTTATCACCATCAGTACCCATCATTTATTAGAAGGCCCGTATATGTTTACTCAAACATATTAATAATTTGTGAAAATGTATTCATTGCATTACTAAACTTCCAAATTACATTTAAGAAAACTCGGGCAGCATCAAAAACAGAAAAATCTGAAATGATGGATGATGGGTTTCAAGTTTCATTGGAGGGCCACCTTCAGTATGTTGCGTCTTTGATACAGTATAGACTGCTTTCGTCCTTATCTTGAAGCTGTTAATTTGCAACTTACTGTTCTTCCGTCACTTGCTTTATTGGATATCCGCATGTTCTACGCTCAGATGCTTTTGTTTTAAATTAATGCATGTGTTCATGTAATAAAAGCTGTTGTTTGTTTTCAATTTCTGCTCTTATGTATATAGCGTGTCATTATTGCAGTTTATTGTATTTACTAGGAGTAGTTATGTTCTTGAATTAGCAGGCACATGTGTTACGTTGCCCGCATGGAAAATTATGGCATCAGATTGTCATCAGTATGTCATCACGCTTTTTCATCAAACTCACCATTTGCCAGCCCTACTTAAGCTTCTGAGATGCCGTCAAATAAAGAGATGCAATTGAGTACTGGACGGTCATATTGTCATATTTTTGTTTATTAGAACAGAAATCTATATATAACATGTCTGTGCAGGTGTAAGCTTCATCCCCAATAAGATGTTCACCCTCCGAAAGAAGTTCAGGGCGTGTGAGGTTTCGGCTCAAAGGACTCCTTTTAAAGTTGCGAACATCACCAACAGCACCACTCTCGCCACAACACACATCTCTGTACAACAGATTGGTACAACAGAGTGGAACTAAAATTGAATATGTATGGTGCCTGTTGACATAATTTTGAGGCTGAATCCGAGGTGCGGTAGCCATGTGCACACCATCTATAGCCCCCACAGCACCTGGGAAGCCGTACTGCTCTTCATATGCTGTCTTGATCTCCTCTCTTTCAAAGGCATTGGGCCACCTAATGTATCTTGGTGACATCTCGCTTAACACGATGACATATCTAGATAATGACATATCTAGAATGAAAATAAAGACTTGCCCTCTTCTTCCCAACGTGAAATCCAGCACTCCTGTATGTGTCGGGATTGAATATGGGCCAAAGTCCCATCATCAGACACAGATCAAGAGGTGTTCTCACCCGAACGATGCGATGAGTGTTCCTCATATGTTGCTCGACTTCCTCTTGACGACGCTGTGAAAGATAAGCAGAGAAAAATTGAAAGGAAACCCCAAGTAATGAAACTGATGACAAACACTAATTAAAAACACTACCTAAAATACTGCACGGTCCATTCTGAAGTGCTCTTTAAAGGACGCATTGCTCAAATACCACCATTCGCGTAGGTCCAGAGGAATAACCTCTTCCCTGCGTCTTTCTGCAAACAGAACACCGAACTAAATTAGTAGTGTTCAGTAAACCAAAACTCTGTAACCGAACCTCAAATAACACACCTCCATCGTTCATCAGAAAATGTACAGCTAATCATTATAATTTCGCCATCGAATTCATCTAAGAAACTTTCATCTGAGCGTCCCATTCTTCCTGATCCGTAGTTATCATTTATTACCGGTTTGCTCTTCAGAACGTCTGTCCGCAGCAAGTTAAAAACCAAAAGTGCGGCGACTTGCGTTTGTTCTTCTCTTTCTGGTTTCTTCTTCAAAAATTAAACGAAACACGAAAAACCGAGGAGCGATCTGACGGCAAGGAACAGTTTTCTCTCCCTTTCTCTCGACCTGGCTTTTCCAAGCCCTGCGCTCGGGAACCTCCGACCCGAATCGAACAAAATACAAACAAAATAGTGATCTCTGAGCTTTCTTCTTTCAGAGAATATGCATGTTGCCGTGTTAACGAACGATCTCGAGCAAACTCAGCTCACGCGTGAGTTCACGCGTGAGTTCACGCGTCACTGTCAAAAATACTGCACCAAAGTACAGCAAAAGGACGGTATGTTTGTAGTGAGGAGGTACATGATCGTTGTACTTTTTTGCTGTAGTGCCCATAAGACTCCATGTTAAGGGATACTGTACTTTGTACCTCAAAATACTGTACCTACTCGCTATAATGCGATCAGGCAAGGACTTGACCAGTTCGTGCTGTGGCTTCTTCTGACAGTGGTGAGTTCACGCGTGAGCTCAAGTGAGCTTAACTTTACACACCCTTAGGTCGCTCGCGTGTGTGGGGAGCTCGTCAGCTGGCCACCGGGGTGCGATCTGTCCGCCCATGTGGGCGAACAGCTTACTTTTTAGTCGCTCACTTCTCGATGCCTTCTAACGACAAAGTCCGATGTGTTGCGCTCCCGTTACACAAAGTTCGATCTGTTTCGCTCCCGTTACACAAAGTCCGATCTTTTCCACTTCCGTTACACAAACATTTTCCGATCTTCCTTGCAATTTCTAGGTCTTTCCTAAAGTTTTTCCGGCCTTCGGTTATATTTTTTAGTTTTCCGTCACATTTGTGGCCTACGATTTTATTGGTCTTCTTCGGTTGTCTTTAGCCTTCCTGGTGGTCTTCCCGGTCTTCCCAGTTTTCCGGGCGGCCAGTGTACGCGCTCGAACCTCGTTGCGGACCCCTCGGGACAGACAGACAGAAAAAAAAAAATCATACCAGACGGGCTTTGCTAATTGCTCAGCCAAAAAAGACAGATCGAGTTCAAAGATAAGCATCCTAGCCCGAGTCAAAGAAAAGGTCTTTGAAAAATTTGCAGGTCGTCGGTGACGTGCTTCATTTATCAAATCAGGTGCAAATGTTTGGCAGACAACTCCCCGATAAGATGCAGACACTTTGCAGACAA